ATGAGTTTCAATTAAAATTAAAAAAAAAATTAATCTAAATATAAAATCAATGTGGCTCTGTTTTCCAGGTGAAAAGGGGAAGAAAACCCAAATCAATGTCGGATTTCACCCAAACGGCCCTTTTACTCCGTTTTTCTCAACGACCAAATCAAGCTTCGGCACATCTATCTATAGAACAAAAAACAATAAAGCATATATAAAATAAAAGAGAAATAATTAGTGTGTTTGGTTTGAGTTTTTTAGGTTAAATTTTTAAAATTTGATGTACTACCAGTGGTATGCTTATAGTTCAGTCATTTTCATTGTTTACAACACTCGCATGCTGGGAGCCTAGCAATGTAATATGGTTTGGACTGTTGATCAACATTAGTGAAACATTATGTTTAGGACTAGCCATATAGTTTTGTTTGGGTTTCATGAAATTCCTAGTTAGAATTACAAGTCATTTTATGCAGTAGCAGAAAACTAAAATGTCTTTCTTGCATAGATTCTAATTACTGTTATCATTCAGTGGTTTTGTACCAAGGGTATTTATTTAGATGAAAAAGCACACTATCTTCTTAAGTTCGCTTTGGATAAGTGGATTTCAAATAAAGGAATTTTAGTTGAATTTTATAAAATTATAAGAAGATTGGCTATTGAAGGTAGATTGATAACTCTGAAGTGGATGATTGAATAAAGGTATGGGACATGTATTTTATTAAGATTCTTGTACAGGTAGAATTTTTTATGAAAGGATTTTAAATAATTATTTTCAGCAAATTATTTGAAATTCATCAATATAAAGCCTTTTAAATCCATTCTTAATGTCTAAATATAAAACATTACACTGAATTGAAGACTATACTCCTCAAATTATTGATGCCTAATCTTTTCATTTCAAATCTATAAATTCAAAGGCAACCTTAATAGATACATTGGATTGCCTTCCCTCAATAGTGAGAAACGTGCTGTGTATAATTTTGACAACTGTAGTTTTCCAACCCCCCCACTTTGTGATGGCATTCCTAGGTGAACTTCTGGGGCTCTCCATTTAATGGGGCTGTTTGGTGCACAACTTCTACTTAGTTGAAAGTTGATAATAAGAAAATAGAAGCTAAAAACCTCTCCCCTGCGTCTTGGTAATCAATTTTTTTAGCTTATTTGAGCTACTTCTACCTTAAAAGCTATAAACAAAAGCTGTACCAAACACCATGGCTCATATTTCCAAAATAGAAAAAGCTATAAGCAGCTCCATGAGCTGTGGTAACGAGAATAATCTTCTCCTTCGAGAAGAATCAAAAAGAAAAATGGGAAGTGTTCAATTGGAACATGAAAACGTGACTAAATTGGTCCTAGTTGCTCTTCGGGACAGAGTGGAAGAAAGGAGGAGATTCTCAAATGTGGAAAAGGATCCAATGACTTAGAAAGAATTGAACGAGGAGCCAATGAGGTGAAAATCTCATTCACTGTTCTGTAGAGTGGCACCAAACGGCCCCAATGTATTATCTATCCTGTTTCCCTAAGGATATTCTGTATCTGATCACTGTTTATGTTATCAGGTTATATGTCTGCTCCAGTGATGCCACCAATGGTGGGGCCACCTGCTGCTGCTGCTGCTTTGCCTGGTCAAATTACCAACCTCCCAAGGCCTCCACCAATGGGTGCTCCATCAGCAGTTCCAGGGACCACTATGACTCCTGCTAGTGTTTCCACCTCAATGGTTACCCCAGCTATGTATCAGGCGGCTAATTCAGCGCCACCTACAAGTGGAGGTTTTGATAGTTTCAACATGAGTGCTCAAGCTCCAGAGGCTGATCATTAGTATGGTACTAGGTTTTTGTTTTTAAATCTTGTAGAATTGACTGTGTAATTGCAGCAGTACATTGTTTATGGGACATGACAAATTGTGTAAGGAAATCTGGCCATCTCAAAATAGTAAGAAATCACTGCATTTTTTCTAAAAGCATTTTAGGCCATTAATTACAACCATTTATCTCTAAAAAAATTATCTTGTTTCATTTCCTGCGCTAGTGACAGCATGTATTTGGTACGCATTTCATAGCTGGATCTGTTTGGCTTGTTTGTGTCTTAAGGTTCTGGGGTAATGTATGCTGATTTGTCTCTCAAATGGGTAGCACATTGACTGTACTCCTTTAGGGCATCATTATCAGGTTGCTTCAACTTTTTCCTCTCCACTGTCTTTTCCTTTTTCTCAGATGAAAAAATATCATCAACAGATATCCAAGTCAACAGAACTCTGGTTGTGTTTTAGAGATTGATTCCCTTTTGAGCGGGAAGTTGGCTTTACAGTTGCCGAAGTTACAGAGCTTGTGAGGAAAAAAAGAAAAAGAAAAAGAAAAAGGAAAAGAAAAAGAAAATCTTTTGGGTATGTAGTTAAGAGGTACTTGTTGTCGGTAACCATTCCGTTTTTAGTTTTCAGTTTATATTTACAAAAACTTAAAAAACTATCATAAAAACGTGTTTGATAATATTTTTGGTTTATAAATGGTTGCCTCAGTTTATAAATTTCAGGAAAAAACGTAAACTCCAAAAATGAGTTTACGTTTTCAATTTTCAATTTTTTTTCAATTAATTGTTTTTCAAATAATTTATTTTCAATTTTTTTTTTCAAATAATTTTTTTTTTCATATAATTTTTTTTTCAATTAATTTTTTTTAAATAATTTTTTCTCAATTAATATTTTTTTCAAATATTTTTTCCCAATTAAATTTTTTTTCAATTATTTTTTTAATTAATTTTTTTTCAAATAAGTTTTTTTTAATTAATTTTTTTTAGATATTTTTTTTTTCAATGATTTTCTTTTCAATTAATTTTTTTTTCAATTATTTTTTTCAATTATAATGTGTGTGATCCTATTGTGATAAATAATAAAAATAAATATAAATATTTTAGGCCTGAACAAACATATTTTTTAGTTTATGTTTTTAAAATTTTTTAAACATTTTGTTCAAACCAAACGCGTTTGTAATTTATGTTTTTCTAAAAATAAATAAAAACCAGTTTATAAAATTTTTATAAACATAAACCAAAAACGTAAACGTTACCAAACGCTACCTTGATGTTTTGGTTTTGATTTTATTTTTTTAAATTTTTTTTATTTCTTATCACATCTTTAAAATTTAATTAGAATTATAAAATTAGAGAGATTCATCATTGCTGGCGTTTCTATCTAACATACACAAATGGGCCTCGAAATTCGGTTTATCTAGCAGACACCTGCATATCATATCATTAAAATAAAATAAGAGTGCTGCTATTAGCACCTACCAAAATTCTTTGGACCCTCCATTTTATAATTTTTTTTTATTACAATTATGCCCTAAAGTAAAATTACATCAATAAGAACTAATACTCTATAATATTGGACACTCACCCCCACTCCCACCTCCAACTCCAACTATACGTATTTCATGTTTGTAAACCCTAAACCTATTACTTTTCATAACTAACTAACATAAACTCTAAATCTATTCACCTTGCTTGGTTTTCAGTTTTTCAAAACACTTTTCAGAAAATTCTACTTTCTTATTTTTCGTGTTTTTTTGTTTTTACTGAATTTTTTTAATATTTTAAGCAAATTTTTTTATTTTTTAGACACACCTAACATAAATACACCTAAAAAGTAAAAAAAAATTGTAAAAAAAATCTTTTAAAAATTCACTAAATATAAAAAATATAAAAAAAATTACAAGAATTCAGTACATTTTTTTGTATTTTTATGAATTTATTAGTTTTTTAAAATATTTTTTCACAAATTTTTTACTTTTTAGATACATCTAAGTAAGGTGCATTTGTTAAACTAACTTAGAATGGAAAAGAGTGAATTGGAATGGATTTGAGTTATGTATTTTGAATGGATTTAATTCATCTTATTTTAAGTTGTGAATTGGAATGGATTTAAGTTACACAGTGATGAACAAATTTTGTTCGGACATACAGTGCTGGCATGATCATTATTGTTCGACAAAACAGTTCTGAACAAAATACATTTTTTTGGCTACACAATGGTGAACAAATTGTTTTGGGCTACATTCAGAATTCTGATGGCAATTCAGACGATGATTCTGATGGCGATTCAGATGATGATTCTGTTTTTCCTCATCTTGCAAACGGTTATACAAATCCCATAGAAATTGGAGTATCTTCGATCGATCTCAGCGATGACGAAGATACAAAAAGCAACAAAAAAGAAGATAATGATGAGAGGATGAGAGAGGTTACTAATTCGGCGATACGGAGAGCGTTTAGAGAAGATGAGAGTCGTCGGAATGCTCCGTTGACGGCCGAACGACGATGAGAGTAATGAAGGGTTGGGATCCAAGAATTCTATACTGGACCAAAGCTTCAAACTTTGAAGATTGAGTGAGTCAGGGAAGGAGAGGGATGAAAAATTAGGTAAATGTGTATTTCATTGTGAAAATATTATGAATATGAGTAGGTTTGGTAATAAGTGGGATACTCAAAAAAATATTATTAAAATTTAAAATTTATGGTTAGGATTCAAAGAAATACAAGGTCAAAAATTTTTTATGAATACTAATAGCGGCCCTCTAAAATAAAGTGGACGTTGATAGGTTGGACTTTGGAGGATCACCGTCATTGATATTTGTGGTTTGTGGGCCCATAACGTTAACTTTACTTTAAAAAGAAATTTTATTTGTATTACTAGTTTATATTAAAAATAGTATTAATATTATAAAATTATTATATTTTTTCTAAGTGTAAAGTGAGATAAGTGTAATTTTTGTCCTATAAAATGACAGTAGTGTTACACATTTATTTTCCGAATCTGCTGAATGAAGTGATCAGATAGAATGTAAATTTTAAGATAATATTGAAGTATAGATTAATTTTTTTAAGATTTTACTTATTACATTCTGGAGATTTAAGAGAGAAATTTGAGCGAATAAAACAGGTAAAAAATAAAAAGCACAATAAAGAGAGCAACCATAAAAAGCCTATCTTCCTCTCTTAAATTGGGAAAGGTAAAACAGAGTCAGATTTCAGAGCACATGATTGTCATGAAATGCCTCTACCTTTGTTTTTGTCTTTTTGCATTCTTTCCTATACACACACAAACCGACAATTATCTTCACTTCACTTCACCTTAAGCCTCTCTCTCTCTCTCTCTCTCTCTCTCTGTGTATATACAAATTTATCTATGTATATGAGTCGGGTTGCTGCATTGTTGCTGCAAATGAAAATGGAGTTTTTAAGGAGTATGGCGGTTGGGATAGTGGTGTGGGCGTTGGTTGTGAGGGTGGGAGGAGTGGAGGTTAGGGGTTCGCCGCCGTGTGATTTTCCGGCGATTTACAACTTCGGCGACTCCAATTCTGACACCGGCGGTATTTCAGCTGCATTTGACCCTATTCCCCCACCGTACGGCCTCAATTACTTTCGAAAGCCCGTCGGCCGAGATTGCGATGGACGCCTTATCATTGACTTCATAGGTAAGTACTACATATCCACACAATATATATATATATATATGCATAAAGTATGTAATTTGTGTTATTTTAGTAATTATATCAATTTAGTCTCTAATGTATCAGAATTATTTTGATTCGCCATAAACTCACTTAAAAATTACACGTTTAGTGTGAAAATTCACTATAGTATGTGTCATTTTGGTTTTTGATAATTATGTATTTATTCCTACTTTAATGGCCGAGTTAGGTTGGGATCAAATCGAAACATTTTTATATCTTAATAAACAAAATTGATCCAATTTAAATATTGATTATCAAATGACACAAAACTTGTACTTGGGGACTAATATATATATATATATATATATATGTAAATGTTTCTCTTTGTTTGCATAATGCTATGAGTGTTACTGTGTATGCAGCTGAGGAGTTGAAACTACCATATTTGAGTGCATACCTGAATTCAATAGGAACCAATTACAGGCATGGTGCCAATTTTGCTACAGGTGGTTCAACTATTAGGCGTCCGAATGAGACTATATTTGAGTATGGTATAAGCCCCTTCGCGCTTGATATGCAGATTGTGCAGTATGATCAGTTCAAATCCCGAACCCATGATCTCTACAGCAAAGGTCACTGTTTCTCTTATCAAATGTGTTTGTCTGACAATAAAGTTTCTTTTTTTTTTTGTTTCTTTTCTGGTTTTTAATGATTTTCAGTGATTTCTGACAGATCCCAAACTCCCCAAACCTGAGGACTTCTCCAAGGCTCTCTACACGTTTGATATTGGGCAGAATGATCTTTCTGTTGGTTTTCGAAAGCTGAGTAATGAACAACTTCGAGCTGCAATGACAGATATAGTCAACCAGTTAGCCTCGGCAGTCCAAGTATGTTTCACTATCTCTATTACAATTGACTTGCTTGTTAATGTACGATATATAAAGACTGCTACTACAAATAATTATCAATTAATTGTTACATTTGTGTGTGTGTGTGTATGTCAGCATCTGTATGAAAAAGGGGCGAGGACATTCTGGATACATAACACAGGCCCTATCGGGTGCTTGCCAGTAGGCACATTCTATATCCAAAATCCACAACCTGGTTTTCTAGACCAGTATGGCTGTATCAAGGGCCAGAATGACATGGCCGTGGAATTCAACAAACAGCTCAAGGACAGAGTCAACAAACTGAGGACAGAGCTCCCACATGCCGCCTTGACATATGTTGATGTTTATGCCGCAAAGTATGGTTTAATTAGCAACACCAAGAGCCAAGGTAACAACCAACATTGTTGAATTGATCTCACCAATTTACTTTGTCATGAATGATTCTAATTGTCGACTACTATGCTTTTTTTTTTCTGAACAGGATTCACTGACCCAATTAAGGTCTGTTGTGGGCATCACGAGAATTATGTCCACGTATGGTGTGGGCAGAAGGCGAGCATAAATGGTACTGAAATCTATGGTGCTTCATGTACAACTCCTTCCACATACATAAGCTGGGATGGAGTGCACTATTCAGAGGCTGCAAATCATTGGGTTGCCAATCATATACTCAATGGCTCATTGTCTGAACCACCTGTTCCCATTACCCATGCCTGTTATAAGCAGCCAGGCCTGTAATGCTAGCGGTATATGGGAGTAATAGAATCTCACTAGGGAAAACTTAGTATCAGATGTTTTGAACCTGTGGAAGCACTGTTTCTACGATTATTTGAGATAATTATATAATGATCTCTCTTTTGGTTCTTGTTGTATGATCATTGCTACCTACTTAATAGAGCAAAATGCCAAAAAACTCGTTGAACATGAATTATTCTGTTTTCAAGTCTGTGCCTTGATGGTTTGCAATTGAGTTGTATTACTTGCATCACCTCAAATCAGTGTCTTAACAGACCTCGTGTTAGAATAAGAAAGCTTGGTGAAGGCTGACATGTACCAGCGGATAAATTAGCATTCCTTGATGTCATGGCAAAACCAGGCTGAAATGTTCCATGAGTTCACCATTCATGGACTCAATTGAAGAACAGATGTAACATCATAATCAGATTGAAGTATTCAATTGCATTTGCCCTTTTTGTAATAAAAAATAAAGTGTCCCCCCACATCCATGGCTTGTTTTGTCTGCAACATTCTCTCACTGTTATTGTTCTGATAATGACAAGCTTCTTAAACTCGCCATTTCGTGTATGAATTGAACAAGAAGATATTTCCACCAACTGATATTAGGAATGAAATCTCCTAGAATTTATGCTGAAATCAATCAGATTATTGTCTGGATGAATAGAATCCCAGGAAGGCATTCCATAAGAGGAGCCTGAATCGCTTATCAGAGAAGAAGATAAAGAATTTGTGTGCTTTGCTTGTTTTGGAGGAGAAGGAAGACAAGAAATTGCTAGTTCCATTTGTTTGTGATTGCTCCCATCATCATGCTACTCTCTCTCTCTCTCTCTCTCTCTCTCTCTCTCTCCTATAGCTAGAATAGGGCCCTACCAGCAGGGGAAAGGAAACCTACAACTTTCAAATTATTTGACTACTTTTTGATGGAGTCTAGTGAGCAAATTTCTTGCTGTTAGTGAGTCTTTGTCATATCTCTGATTAATCATCTTTTAAAACTTCAAAATAAGTAAATTTATTACATCATTATTGTTTTTATATTAGCCTCCAAGACTACCCTTTTTATATTTTCAGCCATTAAACCAAAAACAAATTGAATCATACAGATCTCACGTCAAGATTACACAATTAATAAGTAAGTTTTGTTATCTAAAACATAAATCATCTACTGTGAGAATAGTACATACCCACTACTATAAGAGGAAATAAATTCAATCACCCTCCTCAATAACAAGCCTTGTGTCTGCATAAACAAGTAGCAGAAGGTACAGTTTTATTTCAGGAATAAAAATGGAGATTTTGAGATTTGTGGTTGCTTGGACTCTGTTGGTTTCATCGGTTTTGAGGGTGGGAAGTGAGGAACCGATGACTTTAGCCCCCGGTGACGTCCCGGCCATATACAACTTTGGCGACTCAAACTCAGACACTGGTGGCATAGCAGCGGCATTTTTTCCCATGGCAGCTCCATGCGGTGAAACTTTCTTCCACAGGCCGTCTGGCAGGGGCAGTGACGGCCGCCTCATCATCGACTTTATTGGTAAGAAACTTTCATTTAACTCTAGGTGCACAGAAATAAATAAAAAAATCGCAGAACCGTGCACGACTAGATCTTTGCTATGCATCTAACAGAATTATCAATATGCAGCTGAGCACCTAAAGTTGCCATACTTGAGTGCATACTTGGATTCTGTTGGAACCAATTTCCAGCACGGTGCAAATTTTGCAACAGGAGGGGCAACAATTAGGCGACAGAACGAGTCATGGTTTGAGAATGGTGCAAGCCCATTCCCTCTGGATATTCAGGTCGAGCATTACGTCCAGTTCAAAGCGCGATCGACTTATCTCTACAACAATGGTGATCCTAAAAATTCTTTCAAAAGAAAAAAAAAAAAAAAAAAAAAAACATGTTTAAATTTTGTTTTGATACAAAAAAGAAAAAGAAAAAAACTAATTGTGTTTATAATCTTCAGCGAACGAAACATCCCTGAAAAGCCGTCTCCCAAAGCCCGAGGACTTCTCAAAGGCTCTGTACACGTTCGATATTGGACAAAATGATATTGCTACTGGTTTTAGGAAGATGACCGACGAACAGCTTCGAGCTGCCATACCAAACATTGTTAACCAGTTTGCTGCATCACTCCAAGTAAGTCATGAAGTTGTGTTTTTAAATTAAAAAAACAAAAATCAAACATGAATCTTTTTTTTTTTTTTGGGGTGTGTTGTGACAGCAATTATATAAAGAAGGGGCAAGAGTGTTCTGGATACATAACACAGGACCTATTGGATGTTTACCAGTAACCACTGTGAGTGTTCATAATCCAGTGCCAGGGTATCTAGATGAGAATGGCTGTGTCAGAAGTCAGAATGAGATTGCAATAGAGTTCAATAAACAGCTCAATAACAGAGTGGTCCAACTAAGAACAGAGCTACCACAAGCTGCACTAACATATGTGGATGTTTATGCTGCAAAGTATGGATTAATCAGCAATGCAAAGAGTCAAGGTGATTCTTTATTATTTATCCACTTAAACCAATATTCCAAGTTATAATTTCAACCATTAACATCATGGTCACCGATTCTCTGTCCTAAAATTCACTATCCTTTCCTAAAATTCACTATCCTTTCTGTTTCAATATACTTTCAATTATTAAATCATGTTCAAATTTTAAGATATCATAATCTTGAAATATTATTTAATAGTTGTAAGTGTATTGACACAAATGCATGATGGACAGCAGTGTAATCCCCATTATCAAAGTGGCAATACCATTTACTTAGTGCAATTTCATGCCACAAATTGAGTGGGGGTTGATTTTTTTTTTATTTTTAAATTAGTAGGATTGTAAAGAAATTGTTTTAGTCCACAAATCAGACAAACTCAGAAACATCAGTCTGGGTTCAAAGATCACACTCTGAATATTAAATAATAAATCTTTGTTCTTGTCGTTAACAAAAAAAACAGTCCACGTGAGTCTCTTATCTTAGTATGATTAAATTGACCTTAAATTAAGTTAGATACAACATATCGGTTGTGAAGTCAAAAAAAATCTTATTCCCTGGACTCAACCTGGCCAGTTGTGACTAGAATTCAAAAAATAAAAATAAAAATAAACGTGTTCATTAACAAAAACTTGTTAGTTTAGAAAAATTATTAAATAGTTTTGGAATATCATATAATATTATTTATGTAATATTTCTAACAAATGAGGAACTACACAACAACACTATCAACTAAACAGAAAGAAGTAGGTCAGTATCATTTAATCTGTAAAGTTTTTTACGTCTTTAGTTTTAGTTTGGAGCACTATGTTGACAATATCACATGATATTTCAAGACTACAAAAAAATTACCCATAGAGCTGCAAACAAGTCAAGTTGAGCCAATTATTAAATTGTTCAAATTTGATTTTAAAAACTTAACAAATTTCAAAACATATTTAATTACATAACTAATCAATCTTAAATTAGTTTTTAACAAGTCAAACTCGAGTAGCTTAGTTTTTTATAGTGCATGTATGTTTTTCGAGCTAAGCAATAGTAAGTTACTTAATCTTTCTTGAAAAACTTAAACCAATTTAAAATGAGTTATAAACTTTAATGAGTTGATTTGTAATGAACTTTTAACCAACCAAATACGAGTTAAGCCTAGAGTAACATGATTGGTTGGAGACAAAGGGTGAATGAGAAACGTGATTTCCGATTCGAATCTCACCATTTTAAACACGTTTTTAATTATATGTATGATATGGACATGAGGACAGGGTTTGAGGAGGCACACAAGATATGCTGCGGGCATCACGAAAGGGGAGTCAGCATATGGTGCGGAAACAAAGGAATCATAAATGGTACTGAAATCTACAGTGGTTCATGTCCAGATCCTTCAACAATCATAAGCTGGGATGGTGTACACTACACTGAGGCTGCAAATTTTTGGGTTGCTAATCATATCCTCAATGGTTCACTTTCAGACCCACCCATTTCAATTACTCAGCAACCATATTAAATGGAACCTGGTTGGTTTACTACTTGGTTCATAATGCAGAAGAAGAACAAGTCTGCTATCCCTCATCTGAAATCATTGTGTAATTTTTACAATAAGCATCTTGGCTGTAAAGTAAAGCATATGTTTTAGGCCTAATGAATACAATATCATTACAAGAAGAATAAGCAGCGTCACTTTCCACCTTTCAAGTTTTAATATTGTCAATTTCATTCTCGAAATTTGTGTGTTTTCGAGTATTTTTTTTCTTTCAATTTTTTGTTTTTGATAAATTGTTTAATCATGTTCCTATCAATTTCATTTCATAATTTTGCTTTTGAGTGCAGAAAATCATTATGCAAGCAAGAGAAAATAAGCTTTAGCTACAAGAAAACTAGTAAATAAAAGTGAACAATAGAGCAAGGATGAACTGCTATACAACAACGCCAAACTGAGAAAATACTAGCACTACCGTCCCTGACACAGATTGCCTAATATATCAAATGCATAATCTGTGGCTCAAGAATAAATTTACAAACGTGTATGAACAATGTATATGTATGTATATTCACTGCCTATGTCCTTCAGGGAGACCTACCACCCTGTCGAAGGATACAACCCTTTGAGGCATAGATCCATCTTCCTCCTCATCGTCGTCAAATTCCAAGACATACCTGCCACAGTTATAAAAACTTTTGATCATGAGGATGGAATAATTTCCATGCGGTTTACAAATCTAAAATCCAAACGTAGCCCAACTGTTTTAGCTTATTTGTTTTCAAAGCATTTAAGATAGTGCCAGTTAATCAAGGTCAGAAAAGTTTAAACTAATCCAATGGAAAGAAAATAAAAATAAAAACTGGCTACTTTTTTAACTAAATACATAATCACGTCATTTGGCATTTATACTCTGCAATATTCAAATGGAAAAAAAGGGAAAGCTACTTACTCATCAGTCTTCCTCTGAAAATGTGTGAAAATAGTTGAGAACGTCAAGAGACATGCAAAATGCAAAAGTAATCAGTTTCGGTTTCAAGAAGCAGGAAAAATTGAATGCAAGAACACAAGAGTAACAATCTGCATACAACACGCATGGATGAACTGTTTACCTTGCGAGGTTGGACTACAGTTGCTCTATACAATGCGGTTGTTCCCGGATATACGGCCAAAACTTGCTTCCCAGTAGGGAAATCTTGAGCACTTGTGGAGTCATTCTGCTTTGGAAAAGGTATTATATGCGACACGGGCAACTTGTACTTTCTGAAATGATCAATACAAGAGAATCACAAAATCAGATGAAGCAATAGAGCCCACATTTGATCAAATTAACAATGAGGGTGGTTTGTAATGTTTTAAATAAGTGCACTTTTTGACTTTTTATAAAAAAAAAAAATGTGTAAAAAAGTAGAGAAAATAGGGAAGTAGAGAGGAGATGTTGATAGATGTAACCCAAGTAAGTGTATGTATGCAAAAAAAGTACACTTTTTTAGTACATGCCAAACACCTACTAGAATCAGTGTAACAAACTTGTAGGATTTACTGAATTTCCAAATAGAAGGAACAACATTGTAGTCAGCTAAGAATATATTGCATGATCGCTAATTAAAAAAATTATTGTTTTGAAGTACCTGACTGCATGAGTACCAAGTGATTTGTAGGTATGTAAAACCTCACAAACAATTATATGGAAGAGCGAGGTGGTTAATGTGTAGTAATTTAGAGAAAAATCTAGGAAGTCAAACAAACATTACCTCTGGCCGCCACCACCTTCTTCATCATCACCAGGCTCCTCATCAAGTACTTCAAATCTGCACATGGAGATATGTTAGACAAGGATTGAATGTGTCATAAGATAAAAGAAACAATTGACAAACAACAAAAAATGGTAAATCCAAAAACCATATCCAGTCATGCTAAAGTCCACAGTCCACAACCAGCATAAGAAAGATCATTTTCCTTCTCGCCATCAAATAGTATGAACACAAACAACCAAAGCCTCCACTTTTCTTTATTTTACATCCTACTAATGTATTGCATGATTTAAAGGCTGACAAGATCAAAGAAAGCTATAGAACACACTCAAATAATAGTGTTTTATATATAATTTACCCCAAATTATAAGGGATAAGGTGTACTAGTCCATATCCGATCTGAGTGGTCCATAGTAGTGATCTTTACTGCAAGCTATTTGTCAGGATGATATATCAAGCATGTCTCATCAATAAGATGAAAAAATGTCCCCTCTAGAAGCCATACAAATAGAAGAAGACCAGTAATTGACAACGTCAACCGAGCTTAAACAGAGCTCTTACTTTCACTCCAGTAATTATATATAAAAAAAATAGTGATGACTGCTTCTTGAATGAGAGATACTAAACTGGTTCGCTGATATGATATATATGTGTTACCAATATGATTAGAAGTATTTTCTTGAAGAAGCCAGCACTACTGCAGACAAAATTAAACTAGTCACTCACAAAGAAAGTCAATCAATCTGGATTCATTAAATTATATAACAAATACTTCACGAAGAAAACACTATATAACAAGCAGCAGTAGTCACGGCTTCCTCAACAAAACATATTAAACCAGACTGTCCTATCAACAGAAAAGCAAAAATAGAATATGCTGCAATGTGATTCATTCTCCATAGGTCTTCAAATTAAACTTTGGAATTCTAATTTTCCTTGGTCCAAAAGAATTAAAAAAAACAAAGATAAGGGGTGTAAGTCTGTGTATGTGGGTGGGGGGTGGGATATCAGAGAAGGAGAGGCACCCGAAGCACAAACTCATGTTAGGTGGAATAGAACTAAACTTACTCTTTAGTTTCCCTGTCAAAATGAATAACTTTAACAACGAACCACTCATCTTTCTCAGCATTTTCTTGTGTGACCCTAGCTGCTACCTGAAAATTGTAGTAGGCATTAGAAAGAGATTTAAATGTGCATCCAGCATAAAAGAGAACAGTGGAACTGCCTAAAGAACAACTTGATGAGGAAAAAAAAAAACAGATAAATGTTAACACCAAGGGCAAGAAAAGAATAGGAGGCACTATATAGAGCAACAAATGTTGAAAGAAATCACTTCAGAGCTAGATTATTACTTGTTCACCCTTCAGACTAGCAAGAGCATCCAGTTGGTTTCGCATTGATGGAGAGAGCCTCAGGATATCTGAATCAGCCTTCATTCGTTTCTTTTTCTGCTCATTACCTTCTGCATGTACATAATACCCAATTTAACACTCCAACAAAATTAAACAGAGCAACATGACCATTAAGTATGAAAACTTCACTCATAACAATCAGAATTTAAGGCATGAAAAGTGCATTTTTCTACTCATTGGCCTAGATGTACAAGGTTGCTTAAATTCGTTACCTTTTGTGACTGGTAAAACATATTCACTGCATTAACTATCAATCATTTCCAACAAACTAAATAAAAATACAGTTCAAGGTAAGACAGCTCACAAGATACATCATAAAATAATTATGTAGTGTCTGTCTGTTATGATATTACCCTTCAATACCTTTGGACAAGCAAAATGGAAAGGAAGACGTAGAGTCCATGGAAGGGAGGGAGGACGAGAAAAGACAAAAAAATACTGAAGGGAAAAAAAAAACATGTAAATTGTCAAGTTCCTGAGGTATTTGAGACAATAACTGTCTGACTGTTTTAGTTAAAACTTGTTTAACTCATTCAGCTAGCTTAGAGTGTCTTTTTTCTGGTAATTGTTTATAATGTCAAGTTCCAAGGTATGTTGCTCAAAAAAATGGAAAAAGGAAAAATTAAAGTGGAAAACGCTACAATTAAATGAAACAGAAGCACAAGGAGCAGATGAATATGCATAGATAACCATGCACAAAAAAACCAACTTTCCAAGAGCCAAGGACAATGAATTGTACATACATCACATAAATTATAATGTGTAAAAAGCTTAACATAAATGCTTATACCCAGTTTTTTTATAAGACATAATTCCCTACCTAAGTTCTTGCATACACCTATCCTTCTTCGTTGTTGCCGAGGTCCAGAAGGAATCAGAGCATCCAGTTGGACTAATAACTGATTTGAAATGCTGCAGCCAATCAAAGCAACTGGCATGGTGAGTTTAAAAAAAAATAAAAATTGCAAACATATATAATGAAAACTTAAGGGTTAGACCCCATTTTAGCTTCCAGATGAGCTCCTGACCCCAGCTTCAAACTATGTTCCTTACCACATCCAATTAAGTGGAGATGAAAAAAGAAAAATTCAAAATAGAACAGAAGGTGTAAGTCATCAACTTCATCAAAGATATGAATGGACATACTTCACTTCACTTTCTGAAAGTTCTTTGGCTTGTGTATACAACATCTTAAGCCTCAACAAAGAATTATCGCCAGGCTTCTCAACCACCTCAGGAGCTGCATCAGCATGCAAAGAATCATACAGTGAATAAACTAGCTTTAACAGTTAAGCAAGAAAATCAAGATGTGAAAGGAAATCATTTACTCACCAAAAGATAAATGTATATGTATACTTATTTGGTTACTTTTAACTGAAAATGTATTACGGCTTTTATCCAACACCCATATATGCATGTCAAGTTGTGTTTCACATGGGTAACATTTTATTGCCTATGTAAAACTGAAGAAATTGGTTTTGTTATGTTTTAGTTCTTGATTACTCGTAATCTAGCAAGTAGTGATTACTTAGAACCAAGAATAGATGAATATATACTAATTTATGGTATCTGTGTTCATTTGAAGAAGTTGTGGGTGAATAATTTGCCCACTTTGGCATGAATTATACAACTAACCCATCTTCATCAAATCATCCCATCCCACCACAAATTGTGAAATCATAGCATGAAACCCAATATTGCCAACATGGTTAAGGGCATATCCAACCTTTACCCAAATCTCTACTCGTTAATCACATAATGTTCATAAATGCTACACATAAGAGCATGAATACCAAATTGTGTTTTTGAAAAAAAATCAAGGGAGACCCATTTCCTTTACTCAAATTTTCTATCCAATCAAAGCTTCACACATAGGTCCTTTTTACCAAAATATTCCAAATTCTTCTTTACTCCAAACTCTTATCATCCACCCAAAACTTGACACTTGACAAATTTACTAAAATTTATACTCATTAATCACATAATGTTCATAAATGCTACACATAAGAGCATGAATACCAAATTGTGTTTTTGAAAAAAAATCAAGGGAGACCCATTTCCTTTACTCAAATTTTCTATCCAATCAAAGCTTCACACATAGGTCCTTTTTACCAAAATATTCCAAATTCTTCTTTACTCCAAACTCTATCATCCACCCAAAACTTGACACTTGACAAATTTACTAAAATTTATACTCATTAATCACATAATGTTCATAAATGCTACACATAAGAGCATGAATACCAAATTGTGTTTTTGAAAAAAAATCAAGGGAGACCCATTTCCTTTACTCAAATTTTCTATCCAATCAAAGCTTCACACATAGGTCCTTTTTACCAAAATATTCCAAATTCTTCTTTACTCCAAACTCTATCATCCACCCAAAACTTGACACTTGACAAATTTACTAAAATTTATACTCATTAATCACATAATGTTCATAAATGCTACACATAAGAGCATGAATACCAAATTGTGTTTTTGAAAAAAAATCAAGGGAGACCCATTTCCTTTACTCAAATTTTCTATCCAATCAAAGCTTCACACATAGGTCCTTTTTACCAAAATATTCCAAATTCTTCTTTACTCCAAACTCTATCATCCACCCAAAACTTGACACTTGACAAATTTACTAAAATTTATACTCATTAATCACATAATGTTCATAAATGCTACACATAAGAGCATGAATACCAAATTGTGTTTTTGAAAAAAAATCAAGGGAGACCCATTTCCTTTACTCAAATTTTCTATCCAATCAAAGCTTCACACATAGGTCCTTTTTACCAAAATATTCCAAATTCTTCTTTACTCCAAACTCTATCATCCACCCAAAACTTGACACTTGACAAATTTACTAAAATTTATACTCATTAATCACATAATGTTCATAAATGCTACACATAAGAGCATGAATACCAAATTGTGTTTTTGAAAAAAAATCAAGGGAGACCCATTTCCTTTACTCAAATTTTCTATCCAATCAAAGCTTCACACATAGGTCCTTTTTACCAAAATATTCCAAATTCTTCTTTACTCCAAACTCTATCATCCACCCAAAACTTGACACTTGACAAATTTACTAAAATTTATACTCATTAATCACATAATGTTCATAAATGCTACACATAAGAGCATGAATACCAAATTGTGTTTTTGAAAAAAAATCAAGGGAGACCCATTTCCTTTACTCAAATTTTCTATCCAATCAAAGCTTCACACATAGGTCCTTTTTACCAAAATATTCCAAATTCTTCTTTACTCCAAACTCTATCATCCACCCAAAACTTGACACTTGACAAATTTACTAAAATTTATACTCATTAATCACATAATGTTCATAAATGCTACACATAAGAGCATGAATACCAAATTGTGTTTTTGAAAAAAAATCAAGGGAGACCCATTTCCTTTACTCAAATTTTCTATCCAATCAAAGCTTCACACATAGGTCCTTTTTACCAAAATATTCCAAATTCTTCTTTACTCCAAACTCTATCATCCACCCAAAACTTGACACTTGACAAATTTACTAAAATTTATACTCATTAATCACATAATGTTCATAAATGCTACACATAAGAGCATGAATACCAAATTGTGTTTTTGAAAAAAAATCAAGGGAGACCCATTTCCTTTACTCAAATTTTCTATCCAATCAAAGCTTCACACATAGGTCCTTTTTACCAAAATATTCCAAATTCTTCTTTACTCCAAACTCTATCATCCACCCAAAACTTGACACTTGACAAATTTACTAAAATTTATACTCATTAATCACATAATGTTCATAAATGCTACACATAAGTTATTTTACAAAAGTTGGGGTTTTATTTATAATAAACCTAGATGTATGCTTGGTATAGAGAAATGGAATAAATGTTGAATCATTGATGAAGATGGGACCTAAGGGTTGTAATGGTAATTATGGAAATGACCTAATTACATTGTTTGATTAATTGAGATAATTAATTGTGAGAAATGAGGAAATGAAATGAGATTGCGGAGATTGGGAATGTAAAGGGTTAAAGGGTGTAGTTGAATTATTTATCGCTCACCGAAATGAAATGTTGATTGAATATCCATTTGTGCATTTATTTTCTGTTTAGAAATAACTGCTTGGGGCTATCGGTGGAGGATAGTCGTGATTGTTGTAGACAATGCATGATGATTAGGCAAACGGAAACTAATCAATGGAATGTGTCATGAAATTTGACGGTTTATAGAATACATTAACTGTATGTATTGAGTGATTGTATATAGAACCAATGTGTTTGTATACGTTGTGTGTAGAGGAGGAGATGGGGGATGTACTCCGCGGTTTAGGGGAAGATAGGGGATGTACCTCTAAACCGGATAGTGTTGGGAGAAGATAAGGGATGAACTCCGTAGATACAGCTCTTATGCTTGTCTAGAGAAGTGAAGATAGAGCTTATATGCTTATCTTTGTGAAGTATAGATATAGCTAATATGCTTATCTGTGAATGCGGGATATTGTTGTTATACATATCTGTTGAGAATGTGGATATAGCTAATATGCTTATCTGTGAATGTGGGATATTGTTGTTATACATATCTGTTGGGTTAATGATAGAGCTAACATGCTTATCGGTTAAAAACAAAAAGGGAAAATGGAAAGTAACTTGGACTCGTAAGTCGTATGACATAAATTTGAGATTTATGTGAATGTATCAGTGTTGGCCATCTATCAATTGCTAATCTTTTAGTCATTGTTCATGGTTGGTTTAGTGTATTTCTACTGGGCTGTGGCTCACCCTATATGGGAATATCATTTTCAGGTACAGGTAGCATGCCACCTCCAAGGACATAGCTTGGGAGGCTAGTGGCGGACATACTTTTGTCGTTTTATTTTTGATGTATTACATGTAAATTCAAGCCAAGGGCTAAATATGTAAATGAGTTAGTACTCTTTTGTTGTAACCAAGTGTTAACTTGGAAAGCTGTAAGCCCATAGGGCATTTGCTTTTGTTGTTAACATGTAATACTTTTGTAATGAAACTCTGATGAATAGAAGAATGTGGTTATTTCATATGTTAATGAATGTCTTTGTTGATGGGTTTATTGTTTTTATTTTGAGGGCGTTACAAGCTAGAACCTAGAGGTTTACTCGGTCTAGCCTGAGTTCAACCAAGCTACCTAGAACCTAGTGGTTTAATCGTTTTAGCCTGAGTTCAACTAAGCTAGGTAGAACCTACAGGTTCGCTGGTCTAGCCAGAGCTCAGCGTTAAAGCCATCTATCAACTTTACCATCATCCAAACACTTTGGTGCCCTCGCTTGAGTCATAAGCTAACGCTACATAGCTCGGCAATTATTAGATGTCTCAATCACCCCTTATATTCAAACATTATGCGTTGTTTTTAAATGATGTGGGATAAGTTTACAATTATACTACTACGAATATTTAAATTTTACACTATCTCTTTTCTAATTAGATTATGACCGATGTGGGATATATTTACGATTCTACTACTACAAATATTTAAACTTTACACTATCTTTTTTCTAATGATATTATGTTTCCTTCTCTTCCGTAGTAGCCGCCATCGTCCGCCACCATCACCGAACCGTCTTTTGTCTTCCCCACCTACAAGGACCAACCGCCATCCCCTCTCTCCCTTTCCTTTCTCTGGTAAGAAATCTAATCCTTCACTCAACATGACTAATTCTTATACCATAGTTTGATGATGTGTTTATATACCACATGGTTATGTTACATACTTATGTCACATTGTCTTTTTGTTTAAGTAAAATTGCTTCAAATCCCTTATGTGGTGTGGTTCCATTTTTCAAGCACTAAATTACTTTGCAAAATAATGTGCTGAAGTAGGTATATCAAATGTGAAAAATGACGTCTTGATTGTTAAAGTATTTACAACGTAGCTGCTAGAATCAAATCATAACAGATTGAAATGGCTGATAAGTGACATGGTATTTTATAACCATTATGGCTGCACA